GATGGAGAAAGGCTGTTCTCAGTAGTGACAGATGGCAGAACAAGGAGCAATGGTCTCAAGTTACAGTGGGAAAGGTCTAGGTTGGATATTAGGAAAAACTATTTCACTAGGAGGGTGGTGAAGCACTGGAATGGGTTACCTAGGGAAGTAGTGGAGTCTCCATCCCTAGAGGTGTTTAAGTCTCGGCTTGAGAAAGCCCTGGCTGGGTTGATTTAGTTGGGATTGGTCCTGCCTAGAGCAGGGGGCTGGACTTGATGACCTTCTGAGGGTCTCCATCCCTAGAGGTGTTTAAGTCTCGGCTTGAGAAAGCCCTGGCTGGATTGATTTAGTTGGGATTGGTCCTGCCTAGAGCAGGGGGCTGGACTTGATGACCTTCTGAGGTCTCTTCCAGCTCAAGGATTCTATGAGGAGGTGATTCACAGCTGACAATGCTGGGCAATTCTTCTTCATTCCATCAACCTGTGGAACTCCTCGCCGGAGGAGGTTGTGAAAGCTAGGGTTGAAAAGTGGAGGCTAAGTCCATTCCTGGCTATTATTATTCCAGTTCTATGATTCTATGAACACGCAGCAAAATCGAAACTGACGCAATTAGGAATGCAGCTGCCGGCAGCAAGCAAAACGCTGCTTTGAATGGTAAAGTTGGGATTCTCTTTCCACGTGGACGAAATTTCTCCGAAACTCTTAGGGTGTTTCTAGACTGGCCAGTTTTTCCGGAAAATCAGCCGCTTTTCTGGAAAAACGTACTAGCTGTCTACACTGGCCACTTGAAATCAGTGCTTTTGTGGAAATTCTTATAGTAGGAAATACTATGCTGCTCCCGTTCGGGCAAAAGTCCCTTTTGCGCAAAACTCTTGCGCAAAAGGGCCAGTGTAGACAGCTGAGATTTGTTTTGTGCAAAAAAGCTCCGATGGTGAAAATGGCGATCGGGACTTTTTTGCGCAAAAGCGCATCTAGATTGGCCACGGATGCTCTTCCGGGAAAAGTGGTTTTGCGGAAAAGCATCCGTGCCAATCTAGATGCTCTTCTCCGAAAATGCTTTTAATAGAAAACGTTAAAAGCATTTCCGGAAAATCATGCCAATCTAGACGCAGCCTTAGTTATTTTAATTGTCCTTTCTCTGTGGCGCCTGACGGAATTGTCTGAATTTCATTCCCTGGATGGGTTTGTAAGAAGAATTTCTGCTACTATAGTTGGATTACTCTTCGCTGTTTGGCAAAACGGGGAAGCTGTATTTCTCCCCTAAACATAACACAAGAATGGGCATACCCCAACCTTGAAATTTAGGCCTTTCCCTCACCAAAACTTCACGATCTTAACTTTGGGCCGGGTTTCGTTTCTTCTGCCATCTGACTTCCAGGGCGTGTCTCGACTTGCTTTCACTTTCGAAAGAAGATATGTAGATTGGTGCGAATTTGCATACCTTCCGATCGCTTTTTTTGGAAGAGGTTTATTTTTAAAAAGAACACACTGTTTTTCGAAAACCGTTTTTCCTAAAACAACAAATGCTCTGGTAGCACTTTATAGACTAATGAAACATAGATGGTGGTATGAACTTTCGTGGGCACAGCCCGCTTCAGATAACTGGAGAACGGAAATAATTTTCCTTTCCAAATGCAAACAGATGGACATTATACCTAATGGCCTAAGGGTGAAAAATCCACTACAGTAACAGACTAACGCGGCTACCCATTGAAGCTCCTCCTAAAACAATGAGGTTTACGTGGTTCTTTTGAAAAAGGGTTCCCCCTCCCCGTAAGAACAACGTCTAGACTACTTTCTTTTTCGGGGAAAAAACCTCTTTCGAAAAAGTGATTGGACGGTATGCAAATGTGTGCCCAATTTGCATATGCAAATGTGCGCCCAATTTGCATATCGTCTTTCAAAAGTGAAAGCAAATCTAGACATGCCCACAAGTGCTCCATGATGAGAGAGACGGCCAAGGGAAAATCTAGATGCGAAGGACATTCAGGTTTTGTTTTGTGTATAAGGGATGAATTTGTGGTCCCGGGAACATCGATACAAATCTGCAATAACTAACAGAGCAACTCGAAAACATACTTACTGCAAATGAGATTAGAATTGGTGTTTGCACATGGGCTCACACATCTGTGAAAAACCAATTCCATGCGGCGTTCCATGCACTCTTAAATCACTATTTGAATTCCGTGACATGCCGCTAATATTTTATGAAATACGTTCTACTCTGGTTCATGCAAATATTCCTCAGTGATCCACTTTGGCCTCAGAATTGGTGTTTGCACATGGGCTCACACATCTGTGAAAAACCAATTCCGTGCGGCGTTCCATGCACTCTTAAATCACTATTTGAATTCCGTGACATGCCGCTAATATTTTATGAAATACGTTCTACTCTGGTTCATGCAAATATTCCTCAGTGATCCACTTTGGCCTACTCAGGCTATGTCTAGCCTGCGGGCTCCTTGCGCAAGAAGCTTTTTGCGGAAAAGATCTTCCGCACAAATGTGCACAACAACACCGCCACACTGTGAAAGCGCCTCGGAAAAGCGATGCGCTTCTGCACGCAAGAGCGTCCACACTGCACAGACGCTGTCTTGCAAGAAAGCTCCGATTGCTATTCACAGAATAGCCACCAGGGCACCTGTGCTTTTATTCGATTGCCTCTTTGTGCGCAAAACCCCTGTTTCCTATCCCCACTTACTTGTTCCCATAATATAAAATCTAGGGGCCACCAAATGAAACCAATAGGCAGCAGGTTTAACACAAATAGAGGAAATTCTTCACACAGCGCATAGTCAATCTGTGGAACTCCTCGCCAGAGGAGGTTGGGAAGGCTAGGACTATAACAGGGTTGAAAAGAGAACTAGATAAATTCATAATGGGCAGCAGGTTTAACACAAATAGAGGAAATTCTTCACACAGCGCATAGTCAATCTGTGGAACACCTCGCCAGAGGAGGTTGGGAAGGCGAGGACTATAACAGGGTTGAAAAGAGAACTAGATAAATTCATAATGGGCAGCAGATTTAACACAAATAGAGGAAATTCTTCACACAGCGCATAGTCAATCTGTGGAACTCCTCGCCAGAGGAGGTTGTGAAGGCGAGGACTATAACAGGGTTGAAAAGAGAACTAGATAAATTCATGGAGGTTAAGTCCATAAATGGCTATTAGCCGGTATGGGTAAAGAATGGTGTCTCTTGTCTCTGTTTGTCGGAGGATGGAGACGGATGACAGGAGAGAGATGGCTTGATCATTACCGGTTCGATTCACTCCCTCTGGGACACCTGGTATTGGCCACTGTCGGCAGACAGGCTACTGGACTGGATGGATCTTTGGTCTGACCCAGTATGGCTGTTCTTATGTTCGCACACCTTTTTGTGGAAGAGTTCTTGTGCAAAAAGGAGTTGTTCCTCGTAGAAAGAGGGGGACCTATACTGCAAAACCGTCTCTGTTCTGTCGATTCACTGTAAATTTTCTTGCCCAAAACGTTGTTGTTCCTCGTAGAAAGAGGGGGACCTATACTGCAAAACCGTCTCTGTTCTGTCGATTCACTGTAAATTTTCTTGCCCAAAACGTTGTTGTTCCTCGTAGAAAGAGGGGGACCTATACTGCAAAACCGTCTCTGTTCTGTCGATTCACTGTAAATTTTCTTGCCCAAAACGTTGTTGTTCCTCGTAGAAAGAGGGGGACCTATACTGCAAAACCGTCTCTGTTCTGTCGATTCACTGTAAATTTTCTTGCCCAAAACGTTGTTGTTCCTCGTAGAAAGAGGGGGACCTATTCCGCAAAACTCTCTCTTCTTTTGATTCAGTGTAAAGTTTCTTGAACAAAAACGGCCTTGAGGTGAGGACGCCCTGCGAATGTTTGCACAAAACGGGCCGTGTTTGCACAAAAACTCGGCAGTGTAGACGCAGTCTCTGTCCTAAGAGTGTCCCGTTAGAAAGCAAATAACGGTTTTGATGAGGCAGAAAGAATACGATCCGCTTTACTCCCCCATACGGAGTGTGCATGCTGTGCAGGTCACCACAATAACGAAAGGCACGTTTACTTCAAATGACATGATTATTATTTTTCTTATAAAAGTACCAGCTACTCTCATTGCTCATTAAAATTGCTGTCATATGGGTGGAAACTGGGTAAATGTTGCATTTTATTAATATCAGCAGAACCAACTTAAATGGGGCTTGTGTTGTCTAGTCTTGCCTTATTTTTTGTATTAATGCCCATCAGTGTGAAAGAAGCTATTTGCATATATATTTGCATGTATATGCAGCCACGCTTAAATTGCGGCCCTTGGCATATGCTGAGAGTATTATTGTGGTCCCCAGGGCTTCTAAAATTGAGTAGGTTATATTTTGCATTTTGTTCATTAGCCTAGTCCCGTGGTCCCCAACACAGTGCCCGTGGGCGCCATGGCACCCGCGGGGGCATTTCAATGCGCCCGCCAGGTGCTCGGGGCTGGCATGGCCCCGGGCACATGACGCACGGGCGCTTGCGGGGGGAGCGCACTTGGCGGGGGGAGTGCTGGCCCCAGGCGCGCGGCCCTTGGAGGGGGCCCCGCCCCCGGGCACGCGGCTATGGGGGGGGGGCATGGTATGGGGGGGGTGCATGGTATGGGGGGGCCGCCCCCCCGCCTCCGCCCCCGGGCGCGCAAGTGTCCCCGCCCCCTGGTGCCTGGCAACCTCCAATGGTTGGGGACCACTGGTCTAGAGCAATGTTTCTTAAACGTTTTAAGACCGAGGAACACCAAACATCATTTTTTTTTTTATGAAGAACACCCAGGATTTTTTTGTTGAGCAAAAAAAAAAAGGAGGGGGGAGGGAGACCGAGGGAAAAGTTATTGAGCAAAAAAAAAAAAAAGGGTTGGGGAGAAGTTATGGAGGGGAAAAAAAGGGCTCTTGCCCTTTTAAGAGTGGCCATTTTGAACTCTCGTGTTCTCCGCGGCGCACAGTTTAAGAAAACTTTTCCGTTAAAAAAGCGATCCTCTGACCTATGTATCTGGGCCTGCTGGAGAGGACAAAACTTTCTTAGTCTGCTGTGTGCTTCTCAACTTGGCTGGAGAACCCAGGTGTGGTTCCTTAGCCTGGCCGAACTTCCTCTGCGTGGAAGTCTTCCCCGTGCCGTCCTTCAACGGAGGGTGTGCGGATAACTTCTGCAGCCGCTCTGGGGAGTAAACCCAGAAACCAGCGGTTAGTTTCTCGCGAGGCTCCGGCTTTCTAAACGAAGAACTGGTTTTTGGACTTTCGCATCCCTGTTCCGACCCACTCTCCAGCTACGTCGGTAAACATTTATTGGTTAGTGGTTAAAAGCATTTTCGGAAAAGCGCATCTAGATTGGCAGGGCATTTTTCCGCAAAAGCACTTTTTGTGGAAAAGCGTCCGTGGCCAATCTAGACGCGCTTTTCCGCAAAAAAGCCCTGATCGTCATTTTCGCGATCGGGGCTTTTTTGCGGAAAACACTACTGTGCTGTCTACTGGAACAGTTTTCCGGAAAAAGACTTTTGCCCGAACGGGAGCAGCATAGTTTTTCTGGAAATGCACTGATGTTTTTACAGTAGATCGTCAGTGCTTTTCTGGAAATTCAAGCGGCCAGTGTAGACAGCTGGCAAGTTATTCCGGAAAAGCGGCTGATTTTCCGGAATAACTTGCGAGTGTAGACACAGCCTCCCTGTTTATCCTGAGCTAAAACCCGTCATTCTTCCGATTCTTTGGGGCCGTGTCTGAAACGGGGTTGGTGACTTACCTACCTACTGCTCCTGGATGGGGTGAGGATTAGTAAGATAACATTAAGAAGCTCCGGGCGCAGTACGGATGGAAAATCGTGCCCCATTTAAGCTAACCGGACACGGTTTGGCTTGTGGTTAGTTTTGTGTCTTTTTTCACCCGTGTTCCTGGGATCTTTTGTTCCTTTATTCAGAGCAACATCTATGGTGGGCCAAGTCAGGCCTGGAAAAAGTCACAAAAGGAACCTCAGGCCAAGTTCTGCACAAAGGGCCGTGAAATGCAGCGGTGATGGCGGGGCAGGAGCGGGTGGATCTGCAATTTGGCTGCTAGTGGTCTGTGGACCCCTGGTGCTCTGCGATGGGACTGCAGGAGGGTCTGTGGAAAGTTTAAAAGTAAGGATCAGGCCCCCCATGGACCCGATCCTCCCTTTCTCTCTCTCTTTTCTCCCTCTCTTTTTTCCTGTTTCACCCTCTCTTTTTTCTCTTTTCTCCCTCTTTTTTCATTTCCCTCTCTCTTTTTTCTCTCTTTTTTCCTCTTTTTCCCCCTTTTTCTTTCTTTCTCCTCTCTCTTTTTTCTGTTATTTTCTTTTCCTCTTTCTTTTTCTCTTGTTTCCCTCTTTTCTCTCTCTTTTTTTCTTTTCTCTTTCTCTTTTTTCTTGTTTCCCCCTCTTTTCTCTTATTTTCTCTTTTTTCTTTTCTCCCTCTTTTTCTTGTTTCCCTCTCTCTTTTTTTTCTCTTTTTTCCTCTTTCCCCCGCTTTTTCTTTCTTTTTCCTCTCTCTTTTTCCTGTTATTTTTTCTCGTTTCCCTCACTTTTTCTTTCTTTTTCTCCCTTTTTCCTCTCTTTCCTCTTATTTTCTGTTTCTCTTTTCTCTTTTTCTTTTTTCTTGTTTCCCTCTCTCTTTTTTTTCTCTTTTTTCCTCTTTCCCCTGCTTTTTCTTCTTTCTTTCTTTCTTTCTTTCTTTCTTTCTTTCTTTCTTTTTCTCGTTTCCCTCTCTTTTTCTTTCTTTTTCTCCCTTTTTCCTCTCTTTCCTCTTATTTTCTGTTTCTCTTTTCTCTTTTTCTTTTTTCTTGTTTCCCTCTCTCTTTTTTTTCTCTTTTTTCCTCTTTCCCCTGCTTTTTCTTCTTTCTTTCTTTCTTTCTTTCTTTTTCTCGTTTCCCTCTCTTTTTCTTTCTTTTTCTCCCTTTTCCCTCTCTTTTCTCTTATTTTCTGTTTCTCTTTTCTCTCTCTTTTTTTCTTGTTTCCCCCTCTTTTCTCTTTCTTTTTTTCTTTTCTCTTCTCTCTCTTTTTCTTTTTCCTCTCTCTTTTTTCTCTTATTTTCTGTTTCGCTCTTTTGTCTTTTCTGTTTCGCTCTTTTTTCTTTTCTCTTATTTTCTGTTTCGCTCTTTTTCTCTGTTCTCTCTCTTTTCTTGTTTCCCTCTCTTTTTTCTTTCTTTTTCTCTTTTTTGCCCCTCTTTTTTCCCCCTTATTTTCTTTTCTCCCTCTTTTCTTCTTGTTTCTCCCTCTTTTCTCTTATTTTCTTATTTTCTCTTTTTTCTTTTCGCCCTCTTTTTTTTCTTTTTTCCTCTCTCTCTTTTTTCTCTTATTTTCCTTTTCTCCCTCTTTTGTTCTTGTTTCCCTTTCTCTTTTTTCCTCCCCCCTCCCCTCTTTTTTCTTTCTTTGTCTCTCTTTTTCCTCTCTCTTTTTTTTTCTCCTGCGGGAAGGGGAGCGGCGTCCATGAAATGTTAATAGATTGAAAAGGGGTCCATCCGTATGTTGAAACGTTTGGGAACCATTCATCTAAAGCACTGGTGTTTCTGGGGTGATTTGATGGACTCGGGTACCCGTTTTCACCTGCCAGCTCAGGGTGGTGTTCTTCCAGGTTCTCCAGGAGGGATTCATAACACGTCGGTTCTGAGTTTTCTCCTCCTGCCGACAGAATTCGTTCAGAATTAATTCACTTCATATTCTGGATGCTGTTTCTGAGCCATGAAACCTATGCGGGCTTGGATCGGCCTGCGACGTCCCTTCCAGAAGTAATTGTTTCACACTCTTGTAAGACATGATGCATGATACAATCCCTACATGGTTTCTTTCTATCCCCCTACCGCCCCGTGTTCTTGGCTTACAGGGGGTTTGGCAAGAAACTTACGCACAACTCTGATGAGGATGTAATGCTGCCTCTCCTGTAGGTATTTCCTGGCTAGCTCAGAACCAGGACTTTCCACTTGGCTCAGGTTCATCAGCGTCCCGGACTCATCTAGAAGATCAACGCAATCTGGGGAGAGAGGTTGGATTAAGACGCACGTCCCGACACACCTGCACCTGCCGCTCTAAAATTCATACCGCGTTGGCTTCTCGACACATCTGGACGACGTTCTTTCGAAAGGAGCTGGCAGTAATTTGTATATCTTCTTCCAATCGCTTTTTCAGAAGATTTTTTTTTTGAAAAAGCAAGCAGTTTAGACACAGTTCTTTCGGAAAAAAAACCCCGTTTTCGAAAGAACCCTTTTTCCTCAAACAATGAGGTGCGCGGAAAAGGGTGGGGTTTTTTTCTCAAAAGAACCGTGTCCAAACTGCACTCTTTTTCGAGACAACCGCGTTCGGAAAAGCAATCGGGAGAAGCTGTGCAAATTAGCCCCAAATTTGCATAGCTCTCTTCGAAAGCAAAACATAGTCTAGATCTATCCCTTTTCTCAAAAGAACTGCGTCCAAACTGCTTTCTTTTTCGAGACAACCGCGTTCGAAAAAGCGATCGGGAGAAGCTGTGCAAATTAGCGCCGAATTTGCATCGCTCCTTTCGAAAGCAAAACGTAGTCTAGATCTATCCCTTTTCTCAAAAGAACTGCGTCCAAACTGCTTTCTTTTTCGAGACAACCGCGTTCGGAAAAGCGATCGGGAGAAGCTGCGCAAATTAGCGCCGAATTTGCTTATCTCCTTTCAAAAGAAAAACGTAATCTAGATCTATCCCAGGGATCACTGAGGAAAGCGCCGAAACGTAGCCAAATGGAAGCCTCTTGAATTCTGAATAAGGGTATGCTTAGACTATATTGTTTTTTCGAAAAAACCGCCCTGTTTTTGAAAAAAAAAACCCTTCACCTACATCCACGCTACAATCATGTTCTTTTAAAATTTAATCAAAAGAACGCAGGGCGGTTTTGACATTGGTAAACCTCAAATTACAAGGAAGAATGCCTTTTTCGAAAGAGCTCTTTCGAAAAAAGGCGTGTGTGGATGCAGAGCAGAGATATTTTTCGAAAGAAGAGGCAGGCTTTCTTTCGAGAGAATGTCCGTGCAGTCTGGATGCTCTCTTTTGGAAAAAGCACATCACTTTTTTGATCCGGTTTTGAGGTGTGAACGCTCTCTTTCGAAAGAAGCTTGTAGCCCCGTGAGCAGCTAGTGCCGTTTAATGAATCGAATTTGAATTTCAAGCTTTCGTTTATTCGGATGAACTTTCCCGGGCGTCCTTGTGTAAAGTTGTCCCTCTGCTCCGCCCATTAGGTACAGTCGGTAAGAGACTCCACCTGGACAAGGGACTTGGTAACAGAGATAGGAAATCCACTTGCCCCCTCCTGGTATGAAGTGTTCTGCCTCCATGTGTTGTAAAGACAATGTTTTTCAGTCACTAAAACCGCCAACCAGCCATGGCTGTCTGCCTACTTCAGTGTTTCTTAAAGTGTGTTCCGCGGCACACCGGTGTGCCACGAGGCAGTCGAAGGTGTGCAGCGGCGAACAACCGGCCTTTAAGGGGCGAACAACCCCTTTTAAGGGCGGCGAAGAATTCAAAATGGCCGCCCTTAAAGGGGTAGGCGATCTTTTTTTTTGTTTGTTTGTCCAATTAAAAAAAAACTGTTTGGTGTTCCTCAGTCTTAAAAAGCTTAAGAAACACTGGTCTATTTTGTCCAGTGCTTAGGAAAGGACTATGGGACTCTCGATGTGTATTTCCTAGTGGACTCTTAGTATGTGGCATTGATCACAAGCTACGTAGGGCCACGAGGAAGGGACCTTTTATGAGACAGAGAGAAATACTTCATCTGTGTGTTTGTCTGACCCTCTCCACCCCAATGGGACCCATTTTCCACCAGCTCCATCTCTGAAGAGCATCTGTGTCAATCCCCCAAGTAGGTGGCCCTACGTGAGGGACGGAGATACGGTACCTTCTGGCCTGCACTGGCATTTCCGCTTCAAGTGTGCGGTGAGACTCAGGACACGGCACTGCACGTTCACAATCTCGTGGCAGTCGGCTGGGAAGGTGAACAAGGGAATTCCACCCAACCCCAGACGCCGTGGTAGATGGTTCAAGTACAATGAAGAGACAGTGGTTTTCTGCTCATGGCAGCCGGCGTGGCAAACACAACCAGCAGGGGCAATTTAGCTGCAGAAAGGGGATGTATCATAGACCGCTCTGGAGCTATACACCTGGACTTCTTCCCTGGTCAACCAGAAAGCAAACCAAGCCAGGAGTAGCCTCACTGCTTCATAAGAAGCCTGTGGATTTGGTTTGGTGTGTGCGACCTTAGTCTGATGAAATAGACCAGCGATTCCCAACCTGTGGGCCACAGACCCTGGGTGGTCTGTGACGGTACTGCAGGGGGTCCGTGGAAAGTTTAAAAATAAGGATCAGGCCCATCACAGTGGGCCTGATCCTTTCTGTTTCTGTTTCTGTTTTTCTCTCTCTTTTCTCCCTCTCTTTTTTCTCTCCTTTTTCTTTTCTCTCTCTCTCTCTTTCTTTTTCTTGTTTCCCTCTCTCGTTTTTTCTCTCTTTTCTTTCTTTTGGCTTTTTCTATTTTTTCTCTTTTCCCTTTCTCTCTCTCTTTTTTCTTTTATCTTTTTCTCTCTTTTCTCTCTCTTTTCTCTTTTTTCTTTTCTCTCTCTTTTCTTTTTTCTCTTTTTTTTCTGTCTCTCTTTTTTCCCTTTTTCTTTTTCCGCTGTCTTTTTTCCTCCCCTTTTTTTCTTCTCTCTTTTTTCTCCCTCTTTTTTTTCTCTCTTTTCTTTCTTTTGGCTTTTTCTCTTTTTTCTTTTTTTCCTTTCTCTCTCTCATCTTTTTTCTTTTCTTTCTTTTCTCTCGCTCTTTTCTCTTTTTTCTTTTTCCGCTGTCTTTTTTCCTCTCTTTTTGCTTTTCTCTCTTTTTTTCTCATCTTTTTTCTTTTCTCTCTTTTTTCTCTCTCTCTCTTTTTCTCTTTTTCTTTTCTCTCTTTTTTCTCATTTATCTTTTCTCTTTTTTCTCTCTTTTTTCTCTCTCTCTTTTTTCTCTCTTTTTTTCTGTCTCTCTTTTTTCTCTTTTCTTTTTCCGCTGTCTTTTTTCCTCTCTTTTTTCTTCTCTCTTTTTTCTCCCTCTTTTTTTTCTCTTTTTTCTTTTTTTTCCTTTCTCTCTCTCTCTTTTTTCTTTTTCTTGCTTCTCTTTTTTCTGTTCTTTCTTTTTTCTCAACTTTTTTCTTTTTTCTCTTTTTTTCTCTTTTTCTTTGCTCTCGCTCTTTTCTCTTTTTTCTTTTTTTCTCTCTTCCCTTTTTCCTTTTCTCTCTTTTTTTCTCATCTTTTTTCTTTTCTCTCTTTTCTCTCTCTCTCTCTTTTTCTCTATTTTCTTTTCTCTCTTTTCTTTTTCCTCTCTCTGTGTCGTCTCTCTTTTTTCTCTCCCGCAGGAAGGAAGGTGGGAAGCACCCAGGAAATGTTAATAAATTGAAAAGGGGTCTGCATGCTCAAAAAGGTTGGGAACCACTGAAATAGAAGAAACAGGGACAGTCGGCACAACCGGGCCCTCTGCTCTCCCCTCTGCCAACCTGCGACTGGCACATGAGGTGAGTTTGGGCACCTCAGCTAGATCACCAGTGGATATCTGCCTAGACAACGTTTAAGGGCAGCTGCAAAACAGCCAGTGTCTTTTGTTAAATGACTGCGTATGCTGCATGGGCCTGGAACCTTTTATTCCCTCAACAGCTTTGCCCTGGCTCTTCATGCTCTATCCATTGCAATTTTGGCTCTTTTTACAGCAGGGGAGGCCAATCCGTTCTGGACAGTCTCCTTTCATGCTTTGAGGCCTGTGCCTGCAAATAATACCGGACAACGCTTGGCTCTGATTTCAGTACATTGCTCAACCACCCCCCGCATCTCAAATCTCTTTCCAGAGGAGGTGAAACACTGGTCTGATATATGGGGAAACTGAGGCACAGGGGGCTCCCACAACAAGTCTGGCTTTCCTAGGGGAGGCAGGACTCAAACCCATGACCCTGTTCTCTAAAAGCACGCACCCTATTCCCTTGGCCATGTGGGAACCCACCTCACCCTCCTGCAGCAGGGAGGCGCTCTAACCATTAGACACCACAGCCACCCCAAATACGCTGGTTAAGACTTCAGGCAAAGTGGAAGCAGCCCTGCACGGTGGGAAGAACAAGAACACGCAACAGGCGGCCGTGTTTCCTGACACGAGACACCACCGGGCGAAATCCGAGCTCTTGCCACTTACCTCCGTAGCTCACGGTGATAAACATGGTGCTTCCAGCTCGGCCGTTCCCTCCTGGGGGGTGCTGTGCGGCCCCCCCTCGCCCGAGGACTGCGGTGAGGGAGGGCTCGCATTGCCTTGTGTTGCGGGACGGACAGCCTTGGTAACCGAAGCCCATGAGGACCAGCAATGTGATGAGCCTGCCAGGAGCCGGTGGGAGGAGTTAGCCTGTCCCTTATTCAGGCTCTGAATGATTTCGACAAGCGGATTTCCCAGCAACGGGGAAATGAAGCCGTCCGGTTCCACGGCTTTGGAGCAGCTGCCGCAAGCATCCGAGACGGTTCCCCTCGCTCCGTTCCAATGCCTCCGTCGCATCGTCAGCAAATTAACCTGGGGACCAATCCCTCGAGGTTTCCTCGCCCGGCTCCGGTGCAAGGCTCTTTCTCCCTGCCGATGCACGGTGTGCGTCAATCAGTTTTACACCTGGCAGAGAAGGTTTGGGGGTACTTTCGTGGGCCCTCACTTGTGTATGTATTGTGCCAGTGCGGAAGGAGCTCCCTCGCTCCGGATCCCACCCAGAAAGGACGGCACTCGGGATGGGCTGACGCAGACTGGGGTGGCAGCCTGACAGCTAGATAATTTCCTGGAGGTTAGGTCCATAAAAGGCTATTAGCCAGGGGATAAAATGGTGTCCCTAGCTTCTGTTTGTCTTCACACAGTGCATAGTCAACCTCACAGCGCATAGTCAACCTGTGGAACTCCTCGCCGGAGGAGTCTGTGAAGGCTAGGACTAGAACAGAGTTTAAAGAGAAGCTAGATAATTTCATGGAGGTTAGGCCCATAAAAGGCTATTAGCCAGGGGATAAAATGGTGTCCCTAGCTTCTGTTTGTCTTCACACAGTGCATAGTCAACCTGTGGAACTCCTCGCAGGAGGAGTCTGTGAAGGCTAGGACTCGAACAGAGTTGAAAGAGAAGCTAGATAATTTCATGGAGGTTAGGTCCATAAAAGGCGATTAGCCAGGGGATAGAATTGGTGTCCCTGGCCTCTGTTTGTCAGAGGCTGGAGAGGGATGGCAGGAGACAAATCTCTTGATCGTTGTCTTCGGTCCACCCTCTCTGGGGTACCTGGTGCTGGCCACTGTGGGCAGACAGGATTCCGGGCTAGATGGACCTTTGGTCTGACCCAGTATGGCCGTTCTTATGTTCTTATGTCCTGTCCAGTTCCAAGAACCCAGCCACAGATCCCAGGTCAATTTCCCTGTCGACAAACGGCGTTATTCCTCGTCGAATTCGGTTTCCCGCCGTCGACAAATCTGCCGCGTTCTGTCGCCGGACCTCGGCGGCAGTGGAGACGCAGGGATCGTTTTGCCGACAAAAGTCCACCTTTGTCGACAACACTCTGTAGTCTAGACACACCCGGAAAGAAGGATCTGGTTGGTGGACGGTTGCGGTTGCTAAGTGCCGGGTACAAGCGGAGCTACCACCGAAGTCCCCCCTCCCGAACAACGCTGGCGTCAGCCGCAACATTCACCCCGTTTCCCGTCTACCGTCTACATCAGACCTGTGCCCGGCGACTGTCACGGAACGTTTTCGACATGACAGTCGCTGGGCATTTCACCCGGTGCAAAGACGTCAGTACCCCCGAGCTGCCACGTGAGGGGGGTGTTGGGTGACGGTGACAGGCAGAGGCCTGTAGGTTGTGAGCTTGTCAGCCCTCGGAAGCAAGGTGGGGACGCCTCTGCCGAGTGTTTGGCACGGAGACCCTCCAGGGAAACTCAAGGGGGTCCAGGGAAGAGGCGCTGGGGACGGAGACGGAGACGGAGACGTGGGTCCCCGTCTGCCAGCACTGAACACAAGGGCCCAGCGTGGGGTCTACAAACAAGCTGGGACCAGGGGCACATATAGGTCCCCCAGGGATAGAGGGCGGCTGCATTTAGTGCATAGGGGGCCCCGAGCCGGGGAAGGGGGAGATCCAGGAGTCGGGGTGGCAGGGTGCTGGGGAGAGCGCGTGCCGGGCGCTAGGGGGCAAAAGGCTCCACTCAACCCAGTCGCTGCTGCTCTTCTTCCTCGGACTCTCGGGGGGGGAGGAGAAAGTTCAGAGGCGCGTCCTCCTCCGCCCTCCCCTCGGCACCCGGGGGCAAGAGGAAGGCACAAGCCGAGTGTGTTCCCCTCGCGCCCTCACAGGGGAGA